TGGGATGATTTGACGTACCATACTGCAACAAAAGATGGAAGATGGGGCAAGGACGCGCCTTTGAATGAATATTTTTAATGTTTGGGAAAAACATGGAAGGGGGACGACCCTCCTGTTGCTACATGCCTATATTATTTTACTTGTTGTAAATATGCTTTATTCATTTTGAATATTTTTTGTACAATGTCTGTAAAAAAAAATCTAACCACCGAGAAATATTCGTAAAAATTAGATATAAAACAATTGTTCCGTATGAAGATGGATAAAACCTTAGCGTTTCTTTTGACTTTAGTTTGTAGTCGCCTACTACAACAGCAAAGCAGTTTTAAAGCGCTAACTTAAATTAATCCGAACCTCAATTATAATTTCCAAAGATTTTCCTTATTTTAAACGTATCCTCCGAAGTGACTTGGCTATCGAGCCACTGGGAATATCAAGGAAAACATTGAGACACTCAGGACTGCATCATATCCTTCTGCTGCCAATATGCAGATTCATGTGTTAACGCTATATTATGTTTATATAATATAAGTACATGTACACGTATACGCTTGTGGGAAAATAGCATGCATAGAAAGGTTATAAAATTGAAAAGTTACCATTTAAAATTAAGTATTGGCACACTGAAAAGAACCTCAATCTACCAACATCGATTTTATACGCTGTTTCACGAGACACACATTTTATAATTTTGGCTTTATTTCAAGAATACGAGGAGTGATTTTTTTTTTTTTTACTTTTTTCCATTAACAAAAATATGCAAATTAGAATTGCATAAAGAATTAAATTGATAAGTTGCTTTATTTATTAATCCTTAAAAAACCTGAGCCAGGTCAAGAAAATTGTGTTTTTCCTAAAACTTTTCCGCAGGAGTAATTTTAAAGGAAAAAAAGAATAGTGAAGACATCCGAGAAAATACTCATAATGATTCTTTACTATTTTTATTCCAATGCCTGCAGCACTGAGCTACTTAAATCAGAGACATTAATTTATGTTTCTGCTTAAATTGTGCTTTTAGGTAATATTTCTTTTCTTCGAAATTTATTTTTTTGAATAAGTTCTGTTTTATTTTTCATATACGGCAGTAAGTACATATAAAAGTAAAGTTTTTGCCATTGTATATATGCATTTAATGTGAGTTGTTATTGAAATGTTTTCACTGTTTTCTTTCGTCAGTAAATTTTGGATCCACGCCTTGGCTTATACATTCAATATGCCATGTTTTATGTATTTTGATCCCCGCGCGCTGACCATCGTTTCTGCTTCTGCCAAGTATTGTCCACAATCAACAAGCTGATTATTATGGCAAATTTGGTGCGCATGATATGACCAAAAATTAAAACTTTAAAAGGTTAATCTTAATAATATTTCTTACTTATGGTTAGAAGATGATCACTTGAGACCTAAAGGTGTCAGGTGTATTCGCCGAGACTATCATTCCACTCTTTGATGGTCCAAGGGAAATAGGAAAACTTTTTACGCAATAACCTAGATACAATGTTTATGTGTATTTTGAAGACCACCACCCCAGCAATCCAACCTCTATTATCCTAATGAACCCTGTGTAGTTTTACTTTAAGATGGACCATTTTGTAATAATAAGGCAGAACGCTCAATTTTGTTTACATCTCTATATTTAGAAATCGTGTCATCGTCAGGTCATTTGCCAGACCACCAGCTTATCGATGGCAGCTTACACTAGGACTTCACTTCCGGAAAACGAACTTAATGTGTCATCTCCCGAGGGAGATGACAAAAAGTGTTTTCTAATGTTTCCTTGCTTGTAAATTGGTAATCTAGGGTTGATGTATGAGTAGAGCTTCAATCCATGAAAATGTAACTTTTTAAAAAAAAATTGCTAATGTAGCGCAGGCCAAGCTGCGGGGGAGTCAGCCTAAACTGCTTGATAAACAATTACTGTCCGAGCGGTTTTTACTTAAATTCTTATCCCTCCTCAGTATAATGCTGAATAACTATGAAGTCCGCATAAAAGTTCACTAATTTATTTACATATCTACACACAATATTTACACATATAGTCCACACTTCACATTAGAAATAATAGTAAAACAATCCAGGTGAAATATATAAAATCCTAAACTCCCGCTATTCTGTCTAAATCCATTCTGTCTGATATTTAAAACTAGTATTACAACAATTCACTACACAACTGCACCTACTTTAACTGTACAAATGATCAAATTAGCTCACTTATATACTATAACGAGCCTCCACAATGTGTGGAGTGAAAACTCTACCTCCTCTAAGTGGGGAGGCAATACATAACAATAAACAATTACCACCTGTGATTAACTAATTATCACTATAATTAAAAAGCAATAAACTGCCCTAGCTTACAAATAGATAAGACTAAACAGCTAAAATTAATAACAGGTAGCTATAACCATGATAACAATCCGGAATCTGACAATCAACTATTATAAATTTGCTACACTAACTTCGTGCTAAGGTACATGAGTAGTTATGGGTTACAGGACAGTCAAAGTCAATGACATCATAGGTCAATAAAAAGGTCACAGTCACTGACGTCATAGGTCAACAAGGTCACAGTCATTAGCAGTCACGTGTTGAACCCAGGTCACCTAGATCATCTGATAAGATCAGGATTAGCAGTCACGTGTTGAAACACAACCTGATAAGATCAGGATTAACAGTCACGTGTTGAAACCCGACCTCATTAAAAAACAAAAGGTCACAGTCACTAACTCCAATATATTAATTTTAAATTTTTACTAGATTTATCATTAAAAAAAACGAACAATGGAATACCAACAAACACAATACAAATGGGAAATTATAGCCTGGAGCGCACTCAAAAAAGATAAAAAAAAAATGGACATTACACGAGAGTGACTGGTTTAATACGAAAGAAGAATGTATCATCAACTTTAAAGAAAAAATCCAAAGAGGATACGACATTGCAGACAGCTGGGGGAGTGAATGTAACAGAGCAAGGCTAGAATCAGGACAAGATAATAACAATTAAAAGAGATTTTAATTTGGTTACATACGTCACAGTTTCAACACAACAATTAAAGTTCAATATAGAATTCACAAGGTAATAAAGTGATCGTATAGTTTTCAAAAGAATGTTTCTATTTCCAAAATAATTCGAAGTGAACGTCTTAAAGATTCTAAAGACACTTATCAAAGTCAGGTACTTGCTTTGCCAGTTCAGGGGAGGAGGTATTCCAGAGTCTCTGATCGTTCTCTGTCTCGGTCTAAGTCTCTCTCTCTCTATCTGGCCGTCTCCTCCGGTCTGGACCTTTTTATACCCATGTCCAGTCTCCAAGTTACTGGTGTATGACAACACTCGTGTCCAGGCAAACTGCTGGTCATGGTTTATATCTTACTGATCCTATTAAACCACTTATGGGATGTTTTGGATCAGAATGACTTTGGTCAATAAAAGGCAGAATAAGTTAATGATCCGATTCCAGCTGTTAATTTGTCTTAGTGGCTTAGGTTAATCACCTTTTAAGCCAGAAATAGAAATGTGTTTCTTAAGATGAATAGATGAAATTCGGACCAATAGAATAATCCGATGATCCAATCTCCTTTTAGAGATATTTTAAATTAATTCCATAATTCGGATTAAAAGAAGTATCACATTTCAGTACATTTGGTTCTTAAGACAAACACAGGGATTATTATGCCCTGAGACACTTGTTTGTCAATAAGATAATTTTGTTATTATTATAAGAGAGATAGTTTTGTTATTATAAGAGAACTCAGATACAGAGATATCATAAATAGATAATGCATACAAAATATATAATAGATAATGCATTAAATAAACATACTAATAAACATAAACATTATTAGTGTATACATCAATTGTGTTATATGAAGAGTACATAATAAAACGTAAACGTATGCCTGCAAAATATAGACCCTAGAAATATAATCATGCCTAAAGGACATAAGAAGGAAGTACGATTTGATGATAATACACAGACTTTTTATGTTCCATATGAAGAACGGAGGGGTATTCGGATGACGTATGCTATAAATAGAGCGCACTTTAAAAGGAGAATTAACAACACTGAAAATCTTATTCAAACCGTAATACAGAACAAAATGTTATCTATTCAGAAAGGATTTTTAAACGACACCTGTGTCATTCAAAAAGGACAAGTGATAGATACCTTGTGTTAAACCAAGTTTATCTCTAGCACATATATCTACTTTAATAAACTTTTAAAAAACCAACGTCTCACATCACACCTGGGTAAAAAAGGTGTTAAATCTTATCTTTGAGTAAATACATGTGAGGGTCACAAGTGAACAACATAGTTACCTGCTTAAAAACAACTTTACCTTTGAATACATGTGAGTCACAACCTGATCAACATAGTCACCTGGTTTTTTTTTTTTTTTTTTTTTTTTTTGGTTTTTTTTTAAATTTGTATACACCCGAGAGCCACAGTCACGTGTTTTAAAATACATCAACCTTATCTTTGGGTCTGCACACGTGCCAGTCACAGTCACAACCTACAGTCACTAAAGGTCACACCCAAAAGGTCAACAAAGAGGTCACAGTCACTTTCTTATCACTGATCACGTTTAAAAGAACGTGACAAACCTGACAGTCACAGTCACAACGTGATCATCATAGTCACGTGTTTAAAAAAACAATTTATGTGTATAAATACGTGGAAAAATCTGACCACACTCACAAATCTTTACCAGTCTCAGAGAAAGTTAGACGAATCCAAACAAAACATGGAAGAATACCAGCAAATTCTCATTAAATCCAATTACTCCACACTGGTGAAGGAAATGAAGGCCATTCCTGTAGCTGGATATCTCAAGAAAGACCACATCATTACAGACGAAATGCAACAAGAAATACAGTTTTAAAAAACTACTACGGTCGTAACAGGAAATTACTCAGCATCATTTTGAGAAGAGGACCCAAAGCCTTCCATGGGCTAAAGAGAGCCCTTTTAAAAGCTAGTCAAAATAACTTAGCCAAGATGTTGAATAAGGAAGACAGCGAGCCCTCTGACTACCAAAAAAAGTTATCCATGACTCGATCTTTTCTCGTCAACTCCGCAGAGAAAAGACAGAAAAACGTTGAATCATGCAGCTCAACTGTTCAACCTCAACAGTCTCAAGAAACACGATGCAAAATCAATTTAGACAACTTTAGTAAACTCTATCTCACAGCCCTACCTTACCAAGCTGAAATCATGGTACACATCCGTCACTTTTCTGAATCTAACGGATTTCAATTCCCAACAAAGAAAGGGGTTGTCTTCCCCTTACCCCGTTGGCTGAAATTTGAATGTCTCCTGGATGAGATTGAAGAATATCTACAGAGCCATAGGAGCCAGGAAGATGAGATGAAGTGGCACATTGGTGGTGGTGTCTACGTTTCCCTATCCCCCGATTTCCCAACGGTAGACATTAGACACTACTGGAAACCAGATGATGCAAATGAACCAATTCCAACAAAGAAAGGGATCACATTGAACAGAGTTAAATTTGATAGACTTAGATCCGCAGTGTATGAATTACGTTAGAATGTGCCTGAACTGAATGACGCTCAAATATGTATGTTTAGCGAATCCCATCAAAGTCAGTTGGGGGTACTTGGTTGTCCAGAATGTTCCCCCTTCGGTTATGAAGCACAACAAGAGCCGATGGAAACTGAGCAAAGTGAATCCCAAAACTCACTGACTATCAATGTAGACTATGAATAAATGAGAATTGTTTTTTTGTCATATAATTTTTCTAAAAGACACAATCTTTACATGTATACCTGTAAACAAAAGCTATGTTGAATGAATGATATAATTATACAACATTGTCATAATAAATTATATGAATTAATTATACCACATATGAAAAACGTATCGCTTTCTTGTTTTTCTTTATATACAATTTTATTTTAAATCATTTTAACTCAGAATGTCAAACTATGAGGATTATTTACGACAACTGTATTACACCCCTGGTAATCAAGGAGCATTCTCGGGTCCTGAAAAATTATATCAAGCAGTCAAAGAAAATGGAAAATACAAAATCAGTAGAGCAGAAATTAAGCAATTTCTAAACAACGAAGACGCCTACAGTCTACTCAAACCCACCCGTCAAACATTTCCACGCTCAAGAGTTGTCGTGAACACGATCGACTCCATGTGGGATGCAGATCTAGCCGACGTTAGCAACATTTCCAGCCACAACGATGGTTATAAATTTTTGTTGGTTATAATCGATATATTTAGCCGTTATTTGTTTATACTACCGTTAAAAAGTAAACAACATCAAAATATCATCAATGGATTTAAAATCATTTTCCAGAAGGGGAGAAAGCCGAATACCCTACGAACAGATAAGGGTACTGAATTTAAAAACCGCTGGCTTAAGGCATTTTTTAAAAAAGAAAATGTAAATATCTTGTACACACAGAATGAAACCAAGGCCAACTATGCAGAAAGAGTCATACGCACAATGAAGAATATGATGTATCGTTATTTTTTAAAAAATAGAACCTATGAATACTAGTATACTAATATTTTACAAGACTTGGTAAAAACGTACAATACCAGACCACATAGGATGTTAGGGGGGTTTTCACCTGTATCAGTTAACAAGAAGAACGCTGGAGAAGTCAGATATACGAGCTACCTAACGAGGAAGAACAAAACCACGGACAAGAAAACTAAGATACAGAAACATGTACTAAAAATTGTTAAAAAGAAAAAGAAAAATCCATACAATCTAAAAATAGGAGATAATGTGCGTATAACAGAGATTAAACACCCCTTTAAAAGAGATTATCAACAGAAATGTACAGAGGAATATTTTAAAATCAGTCAACGCTACCTGAGAGATGGAATTCCTGTCTATAAATTAAAAAATTTAACAGACGATGCAATTGAAGGTACATTTTATCAATCAGAACTTCAGAAGGTTATCAAGCCAGACGATATTCTTTACAGGGTCGAGAGAGTACTTAAAAAAAGACGTAGAGGTCAGACTAAGGAAGTATATATAAAATGGGAAGGGTGGCCTAATAAATTCAACTCCTGGATTTCTGAAAGTTCCCTGGAAAAATTCGAATAAAATACCTAATCTACAACCAACTATGTTCATTTTCACGATGAGTATCCGTATGTTATTATCGTCTGAAGACAGCTCTGAATATTTTCAAAACAATACCAACAATTTTACAATCCAGTTAAATAAACAAATTCAATTTGATGGGTACTGGACCGTAGCTTTAACCGAGTTCAATGTGGAAAGCTGGCTTTCAACATCCAAAATACACGAAGTTTTTGTATGCTGTAATATTTGTGAGGAAACCATGGTCGGAAGTAAAGAAATGCCTCTATTAAGGAAGATTTATTTAGAACAAAAAACAACCGACAATATGATTTTTACATTACCATATTATATTCCGGTAAAAGTAGCTCAAATACATCAGATATCATTGTATATAACGGACAAGGACGGTAAATTAGTTTCATTTTTAAACGGAGCGGTGAACATATCACTACACTTCAAGAAGTTTCCTTACATTTTATGATGAACAGTCGAACGTATGTGAGCGACCCTAAAATATGGGAGGCATTTTACAAAAACATGGCTGAGAAAAAATTTAATCCCTATAATTATAAACCTAAGCAAATAGGTAGAAGTATGAAGACACGAAAATCATATGTCATCCCTATTAGACCTCACTCACAACTGGAAAGCCAACAAAATTTCACACAAGTAACACCCTTGGCAGCTGTAGAAGAACGTGCACGAGTGGAACATACCAGCGATGTTGAAAAGGGAAATCCCCATGTCAAACTAAAAAGTGGTATAAAAAGCCAACATAAACAGCCATCTGTCAGTCCTCTAAAGGAACTGAAACGGTTAACATCATCCAAGAATAAGATTAAACCCATCAGTCAACAGAGAAAAATTCGAAACATATCTACAAGCGCCCAGAAGAAAAAAGATATTAAACAGAGAAAAACTCCTAAAAAGCCAATATCTACAAAGGCAAAAGTACTTGCCATCGACAGTTACAAGAACATATTCAACGAATAAAAAAAGATGGCCTTTTTAAGCAGGGACGATAAAGATATTGCTCAACCAATGGAACTTTCATTATTTGCCTCTCCCACTAATCAAGTAGCGGTTGAAAAAGTCTACTTCACGGAAGCAAGACCCATTTCCAGCCTCAGTGCGGACAGTCCCATTGAGATGGTAATTTCTGGGGCTGGAGCGGAATATATTGATTTAAAGCGACGTAGATTATAAGTCAAAGCCCGGATTTTAAAAGCCGACGGCACATCTTTGACAGCCAACGAAAAAACAGGCATCATCAATTTGCCACTACAAAGCATGTTTTCTCAGATGGACGTTTATCTAAACAACAAGCTAGTATCTTTCAATACGAACAACTACCCCTGGAAAAGTTATTTGAAAACAATATTGTTCAGCGGTAAAGACGAGCTATCTTCACAAAAACAATCGGAGCTCTTCTTTAAGGATGAAGGCAACTTAAGCGATGCAAATGCCTACAACGGGGGAAATGCTGGATTGGTCCTACGTTACGGGTACACACAGCAGAGTCAAACCTTTGAATTAGAAGGAAATTTGATGGAAGACATATTTGACATAGATAAATACTTAATCAACGGGGTAGATATTTACATTAAACTGTTTAGATCCAGTGCACCATTCGTAATTATGTCAGCTGCCACTTCACCTGCCTATAAGTTGGAATTACAGGATGTTGTCTACAAAGTAGCTAAAGTCCGTGTAGATCCCGGTATTTTACTAAATCATACCAAACAAATAGAAACGACTCCTGTCAAATACCCCATCACTAGGAATGAATTAAAGATGAACACAATCCCAAAAGGCTCGACCGAATTTTATTGGGATAACATTTTCCCACAGGCAATACCGGATCGCCTGGTTGTGGCCTTGGTTGATCAAAAAGCTGTCAACGGAGATTACACCAAAAATCCGTTCAATTTTGAAAATTTAGACCTCACTGATGTAGGAGTATACATCAATGGAGAAAGTGTTCCAGGAAGACCCTTACAGACGGATTTTACGGCTGGACATTTTTCCACAGCCTACACACGACTGTTTGAAGCTTGCGGAAAATGGAATCGAGATGAAGGTCTAATCATTACCAGAAGCAATTTTGGTAACGGATATTCCCTTTTTGTGTTTACCATAGATCCATGTGGATTTGGCGAGAAATATCTTAACCTGATCCGAAGGGGTAACACCAGACTGGAATTGAAATTCAAACAAGCAACAACCAAAGCTGCCAACGCATTGGTGTTTGCCACCTTCTCTTCTTTGTTAGAAATAGACAGATCACGTGATATTAACAATATTCAACCATGAATTCTAAACAGCTCCACGATCTAGTGGAAAAGGATCCCTGTCTACGGAGAGTTGTGAAAGGAGTTTATGCTAGCAATACCCTACCAAAACATGTTCAACACTATCCTAGCGCGTTCATTGTGAACAATCAACCGCTTCCATTTCCTGATGAACATTGGTTAGCCATTATCATACACAGCCCATATCAATCAGAATTTTTTGACAGTCTTGGGAAGCCATTGACTGCATATAATCACCATATAAGAGACTTTATTGCTAACAATAGTAAACGTTGTGATATGAGAAATACAAGACTTCAATCCATAAACTCTAACCTCTGTGGAAATTATGTATTAATGTTTTTAATTGTACGATTGTATTATAAACAATCACTGATACAGTTATACACCTTATTTTCTGATGACTATCAATTCAATGATCATTTTGTTCAGAACTTTGTTTATCGATATTTTTTAAATTAAACTAATTCCGATGAAAAAAAGGGGTTTTTTCTATAAAAATTGGATTTTCAATGCTTCATAATCACAATCCTAGAAGTTGACAAAGGCATAACATGGAAACAAACGACAGCGAGTGGTGGAAAACAAAGTCTTTGCTTCCTTTCTCTGCACCAACTACTATTTTGATATGTGGTAGTACCCAGAGCGGGAAAACGTATTTTACAAAACAATTGCTAGAAAAAGCTAATGAGATGTTTACAATGCCGGTGGATAAAATAATATATGCTTATTCTGAGCATCAAAATATGTTCCACGACATGGAACAATCTATACCCACTCTGGTATTACATCAGGGATTACCCACAAAGTAAGATATAGAGAAGTATACAGAAGATGTGTGTCATACTATCATCGTTTTAGATGACCTTATGTTAAAGGTTGCACAATCTCAAGACTGTGTACATCTATTTACGGTGACTTCACATCATCGCAACATAACCACAGTGATGCTTTCTCAGAATCTATATCCCCCCGGAAAATATGCCAGGACCATTTCTCTAAACTGTCTTAATGTGATCTTATTTAAGAACTACCGGGATTCACGGCAAATTATCACCTTCGGATCCCAAATCCTACCAGGAAATGTACCATTTTTTAAAGCGGCTTACGAATTAGCCACACGCCCTAACTTTGGTTACTTACTTGTTTGTCTGGAACCTACCCAAAACAAAGAATATCAACTGCGATCTCGCATTCTCCCCGGTGAAGACATGATTATTTATCAACCATTATAAATACTTTCAACAAATGGTTATGCAATTCATACTACGATCATGAAGCAAAGAGTGCGGAAGCACATTGCTCTCCTCCGATTTCTGTTGGATATAGACACTGCTCAGCAAAAACACATTATCAAATTGTTAACCGATGAGCAATGCGACGTAATCAGTGAAATAGCCCTCAATATTTACACTGGGACATACCCCTTGACAAAACAGTACATAAGACAACTTACACCTTACAAACCATTCATTCGGATGTTGGGATCCCGTGAAACCAGTTCAAAACGGAAACGACAAATATTATCAAAACACATTCAGTTACTGTCTCTTATACTAAAACCGATTGTTCAACATTTCAATAAACGAAATGGGAAAAGAAATGATATTAGTACCGAAACTAAAATACGAACACCTGAGAAGATTGCAGAATAATGACGAGTGTGTTCAAAGTGACATCTCTAATCATGAAGACAAGGAGACCAAAGACAAGTCTCTCAACTTATACAAAAACCCTCAAGAAGCAAACTCCAGCGTGGGGAATGAGATGCATGACTTACAGTCAGGAGGTGCTTACATCAGCAAGATCAAAACAGTATCCGGACCCTCCAGGTCTTTCCAGAACAAAACAAGGACGTCAGAGAAACATTCCTTGGCATACATATTAATTGTAAAACAAAATAAATCATTATTTTGTATTCAACATTTTATTGCATAAAAGCTTTTCTAATAAAATTTACAAGAAAATGACAGCAATATGTTGTTTATTTTTCCACTACTTAAAATCCAAATGGCAAGGTGTCTAAATTTGATAACAATCTACGTTTGGTATATACCATTTGGTAGTTTTTATTTTCTTTACGATTAAGCAATTTTCTTTTTCTTTTGTCTCGCGAGATTTTGCAAGGATTGTGAATCTCAATTTGTCTATCGTTTGCTGTACAAATGATGTCTTTTATGGCCTCAAAGTTGATCAATTTTGAGTTCATCCAATTCAAAGTAAAACCCCGAACTTTGCATTCCTCTTTACCAGAAAGGGTGCGATAAGCGTAATTTTTGGGGCCTCCGGATACAAATTCGATAATGTGGCCGTCTTTAGGATCGATTTCATTCGTCATTTCACCCAAATAATTACCGATAGGGAGATAACTCAAGTCATCTGACTCGTGGGTCTTGAAAATGACACTATCCGTATCAAAGTACAATACCCTATCACCTAACACATTCAACACGCTATACAACTTTAGACGAGCCCACATTGTGGTAAATGAAGCCAAAAATATGTTGGTTTTTCGATCAAAGGGTGTAAACAGAGGGTGTTCATTCCATTCTAATTGTACTGTGTCCTTTGATACAATGTGAAAATTGTCCGGGATTTTTGTTGGATCAGATAAAATGCGGAAAAAGACCTCGGCTTCACTCTCATGAATAAACATGGATTGCTTCATATTTAACCTTTGACCAAATTTTCCCCAGAAGCTGTTTAGACACAATTTGGCTAGACACCGCAAACCGGGGTTTTTCTGAATTTTATGGTATTCTAACCTGATCCCTTCTTTTTCTTGGTATTCTCTAATGTATTCTAGTTTTGCCTCCTCCGAGTCGCACTCAGTAGGAAAGTCCGAGGCCTCTTGTTTGATTTTTAAGAATGTATTTACATATTGAGTAAAGAGACCCCCCGTGCCTGATACTCTGTCATATTGGGATGACTGCTCAAAATGATAAACTTCGTATATTTTTAAGATTTGATATCCTTTTGAAATTGCCATTTGGATTTCTGGTGTACACCACGTACCCGTAATACATCTTTCATGTATTGAACAATGACATTCATTTTGATTTTCAGTGTCAGCACATTTTTTACACAGAGGGAATTTTAGTTTTTGATTGGATAAATACGGGAGACAGGCGTGGTACAATCCACGGGGTGGTAGTATGGTCACCTTTGCCACTCCGAAATATTCAGACAAGTCTTTGAAATCCTCCGTGATGATGGTCGGGTGACCGACGGGGTATCTGCAATACTTATTCGTCCAAGGATAGAGACTCGTGAAATCGTAATATTGGATGGTTTCATTCTCAGTGGCTTTATAATGTAACTTCACAGCATTTGTCCGTCCACCGAAAAAACTGTCCCGTGGATCTAATCTATCCTGAAGATCTAAGGTTGAGACGAATTGTCTTAATGCCGGATTTTTCTTTAACTGATAGTCAAAGTCGTGCTCCCATATAACGACCAGATCATAACCCAGTGCTTTCAGTTCTCTTTCCCGTCGTTTGGTCATGTCGTATAATTGGTGAATCGACTGGTTCGTAGATGGGTATTTAATGGTAAACCGATCGTGGATATAACACGATAAGCAACCGTGATAGGCACAGCTAAAAAACAAAAGAAAAAAGCATTAGATGGGTTACCGGTGCGCGGCCGCCCCTCCCCTCTTTAGGGGGCACATTAAATCAATTTTTTCATATATTTACCCGTAGAACTCGTAAATGGTGCCTTTTCCGTTCTCTTTTTCTACGAACCCATCGCATCTGTAGTTAGTACCAGGTATACGGTATTCTCCCTTGTTGAGCGCATGTTGAATAAAGATCGGTTTTCCCCTATGTTTACTTTTCTCCATGAGCCACTCTAACCATTGGATTGAGACTTTGCTGTAATTATCTCTACCGTTGTATCCGGTTGAAGGTACAGTGGCAATCGGAGTTGTAAATGTTTGTCTCCCGACTTGCAGGTTATCAAGTTTTTTCAAGTCGGACACTGACATCCATCTGTGGTTTAAGTACACCCCCTGTACCCCTTCCTTGCAGTGGATGTCGTGCCAAGTACACCCCGAATCTTGAATGATTTCAACCTTTTTTTCCTCACTCAGAAAGAGAGTCTTGAAGATCCCCATACATACACTCGCTATTGTGACGTAGTCAAACGGATCAACACCGTGTGTGGCGGACGTTTCTTCCGTACCGTCTGGATGTACCACGCGAGTTTCCATTGTCGTGGCCTTAATCATCAGATCCCTAAATGCCATACATCCCCGCCTTAAGATATCGACATCAGAACGACAGTATTGCAATATTTGCTCTTGGAAATGGAACTGTTCATACATTTTACTTTTGTGCCTGGACGAATTGAATGTCGGTTGATCAGACACTCTAAAATAGGGTAGCAATCAAAGCTCTTGGAATTGTGAGCTAAAAAGATCGTATCCCTACAGTACTTGATAAAGTAAGAGCAAAATTGTTCCGCTGCATCATCTCCACGAAATACCTTTTCCCTATATCCACACGTACCAGGACAGGGTGAATGTAAAAAGCGTGATTTTTCCATCTGAGAACATTGTTCGCATCGTATTCCGCAATTGTTGCACGTCGAATCTGTTTGCAATTCTTTATTTTCACAGACATGACAACAGGATTGTATGACGGCGAATTTAACTTTGTGTTGGGGTAGACCGCAAGATGCATCCTGACAGTTCTGACAGAGCTTACAACTAACACACCGGTGTTCTTTTTGTACACACTGATGACATCTGATAGAAGGGGGGTTATACCCTTGATCACAATTAAACATATCATCCTGACGCGTTTCAAAGTCATAGAAAACAAACTTTTTTTCCCTTTTGTTAAGTGTAGATTTTTTAGCTCTTTGAAAGCAGAGGTGTTTCTCGATAAAATACTCCTTGCAATTTGGACATTGCCATTCATGACAAACGTGTTGATGAGGTGTTCGGTCCTGGTACTGTAGAGTAATTCTACACTTTTTACATTGGTAAAATTTCTC